TTTATCATGAAAGTTGAACTTACAAATATAGATTTTTTTTGTTACATAACTCCACTCAAAAATAAAACAATGTAAAACTTTAGAGACTACGAGTCCATTCAGTCCTACCTCTTGTTCAGCCAATCGCTAAGACAAACAAGTTTGTTTACATTTACATTTACATCCCATGCTTGCTGGGATGATTTAGTTGGGAATTGGTCCTGCTTTGAGCAGGGGGTTGGACTAGATGACCTCTTGAGGTCCCTTCCAACCCTGATATTCTATGATTCTATGAGGTATTGCTGCCCGCTTCTTATTTATAATGTCACCAGAAAGTGAGAACAGGAGTTCGCATGGCACTTTTGTAGCCGGCGTTGCAAGGTATTTACGTACCAGATATGCTAAACATTCGTATGCCCCTTCATGCTTCCATGAAGATAATGCTCTTTAAAAAATTATGAACTAATTAAATTTGTGACTGAACTCCTTGGGGGAGAATTGTATGTCCCCTGCTCTGTTTTACCTGCGTTCTGCCATATATTTCATGTTATAGCAGGCTCAGGTGATGACCTAGCACATGTTCATTTTAAGAACACTTTCGCAGCAGATTTGACAAAACTCAAAGAAGGTACCAATGTGAGATTTCTAAACATAGCTACAGCACTCGACTCAAGGTTTAAGAATCTGAAGGGTCTTCCAAAATCTGAGAGGGATGAATTAGGGAGCATGCTTTCAGAAGTCTTAAAAGAGCAACACTCCGATGCGGAAACTACAGAACCCGAACAACCAAAAAAGAAAATCAACCTTCTGCTGGTGGCATCTGACTCAGATGATGAAAATGAACATGCTTCGGTTGGCTCTGCTTTGGATTATTATCGAGCAGAACCCATCATCAGCATGGATGCATGTCTCCTGGAATGGTGACTGAAACATGAAGGGACATATGAATCTTTAATGCATCTGGCACGTAAATATCTTGTGACGCCGGATACAAGAGTGCCATGCGAACGCCTGTTCTAACTTTCAGGTAACGCTGTAAATAAGAAGCAGGCAGCATTATCTCCTGCAAATTGTAACCAAACTTGTTTGTCTGAGCGATTGGCTGAAGTAGGACTGAGTGGACTTGTAGACTCTAAAGTTTTACATTGTTTTATTTTTGAATGCAGGGGGTTTTTGTACATAATTCTACATGTGTAAGTTCAACTTTCATGATAAAGAGATTGCATTACAGTACTTGTATTAGGTGAACTGAAAAATACAATTTCTTTTGTTTTTTACAGTGCAAAGATTTGAAATAAAAATAATATAAAGTGAACACTGTACACTCTGTATTCTGTGTTGTAATTGAAATCAGTATATTTGAAAACGTGGAAAACATCAACAAATATTTAAATAAATGGTATTCTATTATTGTCTAATACTGCGATTAATCACACAATTAATTTTTTTAATCGCTTGACAGCCCTATTACACAAGCTCATTTCATGCATCGCTGAAATGCAGCAACCTCTTGGGTGTAACATGTCAACTGGCAAACATAGCAGCCCCAACAACATTTTCATTTAGAGCATAAAATTGGGAGATCCTTGGTAAACACTGGGATTCAAACCCCTCCTAAGAGGTGAAAGCTGTGTCATCATTGGTAAGGTAAGTTTCTCTAGGGCTGAAATAAGGTCTAGGATTTGACCCTGGCCTAGCTTGGTACTATTTCTTTATTATGTGATCTGCTGCTCGTCATTTCATAAAGCATCAATGAGTAAAAATAATTCAACATAAAAGACTTCCCATCCCATCATAACACACAAATACTCAGGAACAAATACAGACACCGATCCTACAAATGGTTCTACGCTTACTTAATGTTACACATATGAATAGCTCCATTGAAATCAAGAGGGCAACTCATGCACAAAGCCAAGCCAGTACAGAAGCATCTGCAGGAGTGGGGCACAGTGAGGATGATAAAATGAACCTGGCATTATAGATATTATGGGCCCCAACGCTAAAGCTAATGGCAACTATACACTTTATAACATTCCCCTGTTTTCACTCACACCTCTCTGGGGAAAGTTCAGGTCCGGGCTGAGATCAGCCTTGAAAGAGAATTAATTCTTCTGGAGCTTTTGAGTCAAATTCATTCTGTCACTTTGGAGTCACAGGAACGAGAACAAAAATGGTCTAACACTGTTTAGAACAGCTCCCCCTCCTGCAAGCCCTGCCAGTGTATCTGAAGTATGATTTTTATAATCCAGTCCTTGGATCGCCCCACCCCACTCTGCTGAGGCACTTCAGTCCTGACCTGCAACCCTCTCTCCCCTGCAATTCCAGCCATGGACTCCCCCCCACCGGTCCCTCCAGCACACCTCCAATGGGCCCAGCTATTCCAACCCATTCAGCTGTCCCAATTCCCTGAAAGGGGAAGCTAGGGGGAGGAAGGCTTAACCACGGTTTTTTTTATAAAAAACAACCTGCATCCGATGAAGTGGGCTGTAGCCCACGAACGCTTATGCTCCAATAAATGTGTTAGTCTCTAAGGTGCCACAAGGACTCCTCGTTCTATTTTTTTTTTAATCACTGTTTTTAATTGGGGGGGGGGGCAGGAACCAGACACACAGGCAGGTCAGTGTGTGTGTGTGGG